AAAAGATGGCGCTGTTTTGGTGCTGAAGTATCCATTAAATGCGATTTTTTATCAACGTTAAAGATAATATTTTTACCTCTGGCAACAAGTTATACCTGGCAAATTGAATAAGTTCACGCGTAGGTATAGCCCTTAGAGGATGGAAAAAAATATTCCATAGTCTAAGGTATAGCCACGACTGATCGCGATAATTTTTAATGGCATTTGACATTAGACGTTAGGTCGGGTGGCGTTCTTTTTGGTACATCAAAGAGATTTAACGTGTTATTTAATGCGTGTAGTATGCGTGTAGTATAATAATATATAAAAAAAGCGCATAACTTTCTCGAATTGTTTCAAGCTGAACCATATTTATAATATAGCATTGGTTTTGTTTCGGTTAAATGTAAAAGATTTATATAATAATAATTGACTCTCATGAAATAACATAACGCCCTTTAGTACCAGTAGAGTTCCTCGTGAAAGAGTTCGTCTAGTGAAGTACGTACTGCCACCTTACCTATTTCTGCCGCTGTATGGGCCACCTTACTCCATACATGGTTTGTAGTGGTAGTCATTTAATATTATAAAAAGAAAGAAAAAATAATGTAGCAGTTTCAACCTCCATCTTGGAATGATATTTTCAACGCGCAATGTATTGGGCATTGGACACTAAATCCTAGTGTAGCTACTTTACTCCACACGATATTTTAGGCAGTGTTTTTTATGCAGGTTTAATTCTATGCGCTCTTCCCCTCTCTGGTGGCAAGATCATATCTTTTGCCGACGATACAGTCTCATTATTCAGCGCCTAAAGTTGGAATGAAACATTTTCACAAGCTCAATTTGGTTTTAACACAGTAACCGAGTGGCTCAGAGCGAATGCCACTACACTGAATACTAGCAAAATTAAATATATGACTTTCTCATACAACATCTCCTCACAACCTCCTGAGGATGCTTTTTCAATAGTAGCTCACCATTGTACAAGCCCCCGAACTCATCTAAACCTCTGTGTTTGTCCAACACTGGACAGCACAAACGACATTAAATATTTAGGTGTCATAATTGACAAACATCTAAATTACAAAGACCACACTGTAGCGCTTACTTCTAGAGTTCGAAAATTGATATATGTTTTTAAAAAGTTAAGATATGCAGCTAGCAGCGCCCTTCTCAAATCAGTATATTTAGCCCACTGTGGTCATTGCTACTTTACTGCGTTACATCCTGGGGCGGTGCATATAAGACAACCCTGATAAACCTGGAAAGAGCGCAGAGACCTGTTCTTAAGGTCATCAACTTCCGTCCTTTCGATTATCCAACCCGCAAACTCCTAAACGAGTGCGATGTTCTCTCGGTTCGGCGACTGTTTATCCAACAAATAATTTTGAAAAAGCACTCGATTACTCCATTTGATTCTGTTACTTTAACCAACTACAGACGACTCGATACCTTTTCATCTCGTGCATAACTCCGCACAGCACACTCGCATAGATTCTTTTGCTTCCTTGGTACATTCCTTTACTTTAAATTAAATTCTAATTTGCATTATTCCGCCATGAATAAAATAGAATGTAAAAGGACCGTCAAATTGTGGCTTAAGAGTACGACTTACAATGAAACAGAGGACTTGCTGGAAGTTGTTTCATAATTACAATTTGTTGTTTTATATAGGTAACCGTAACAGATGAGAGAGAGAGAGAGAGTTTTATATAGGTAACCATTAATTTACAACTACTAATTATTTTATTGTTAAATATGGAAAATCTATTTTTAAGCTATAATATAAAGAAATTTGAATAAAAACATGCCTACAATACAGGTATATATTTACTTAGTTTAGGCATCGCAATTACACATTAGATGCTTTAAAATACATAATAGCTTTACTATGAAGAACGTATAATCTAGTTTCCCCTGTTAATTCTTATTTAAATACTATAATAGCTTTATTTACATTTGTTTTTACTTATATTGTATTAGATTAAGTTATATTGAAATAAATTTATCTCTATCTTTATCTTTAATTTGTGGCTTGTGTGTTGTTTTGCCACCGGGTTTCAATAATTTGGAATTAGCTTAAGAGTGTTCTATATGATTAATTATATGTATATATTTTTGTACGTTCATGACCATTAAGGGCTATGGCAAAATATAAGCGAGGACAATGTAGGTACCTACTGTAGTCTGTAGCTGAGTCTAAGGCTGCTAACAGATTGACTACATGATTACAATAATGTGTGATGTCGTTATCAGTTTCGAGTCAAGGTCACGGCTGCGTGAAGTTGATTACGACTTCACGTTATAACTGCAAACATGCAGTCAATCTCTTAGTCACTCATAGTCCCATTTGACGTGTGTTTCTGTTTATTATTATTAATTTTCATATCATTCTCTTTGTGTGGTATTGCATGCCAAATAAAATATTTCATATTATTATATATGTATCCACATGCATTAAAAGCTGAAAAGGCGTGCGTTTCACTTCGGCTTTATTGCAAGAACATAAAGCTTTTTATGACCGGGGTCAAGCGATACATCGATAAGAATGGTAAATTGCTTGGAACAGAGAAGATGGAAAGTTTGATATTGAAAGAAGGGCACGAAAGGGAACCGCAGTAAATGGAGCCATAAATGGTCTGATGGGGAGCAACATCTTATCCCAAAAAGCACACATGTCTATACATAATGCTTTGCTGGTTCCTACACTGACGTTTGCTAGTGAAAGTTGGATATGGCAGAAGAAGCATGGAAGTAGAATTAATGCAGTGGAGATGAGATCTTTGAGGAGTTGTTGAATTTGTGGAATAAAGTTGAGTGATAGAATGAAGAATACGTGAAAGATGTGGCGTGAAAGAGGATGTGGTGACTAGAATAGAGAAAGAAATGTTGAATTGAATTTGAATTGATTTGAAAGAATTACCAAACAGATTTATGATGCGAATGTAGATGGAAGGGTTTTAATTGGACGTACCAGAAGGATATGTTTACATTGGCCAAATCAGTGACGTACTCAAAAAGGCTGGGATCCGAAGTGACAATATTAAAAGAAGTTGTATGAAAAGGGTAATTGGTGTATGTGAAGCTCGAAAGTTGTGTCAGGATAGAGTAAGGCAAGGGACAAGAGCGTGAGCCTAAGTATGTATGTAAGAATGGTAAATGTTAATGTAATGGTAAACTACTCAAGTCAATGTCCCCGGGTAAGATATTCCACCATATATCAATTGGTCTCAGTTGATTTCTCATTCGTAATTAAATAATAAATAGTGCGTGACGGCTTTAACCGTATAAATTCAATTTAAATTCGCAGTCTAATTTTTAACCGTTTCAAAGAATCCAATCAATCGTATAGCGTAAATCCAATAACAAACAAAGTCGAGCCCGGTGGCACGTAAGAAGGTCATATACAGAGTGAGATGGGCAGTGGTTAAAAATTAATCAACCCCGCCCGGGTTTTAACTGGGTATTGAAACCATATTGCCGGGTTTTAACCCGTTCGAATTTGGTATAATTCCATACTTATTATAAAATTCGATGTAAAAAATATTTTTTAAAAGAAAAAGAGGAATCCATTTTCAAGCGAATCCATTTAATAGAAAGGCAAATTGAATCGTCTAGATCAGAAAGCAATAGGCATAATTTGAACAAAAGTCGCTTAACAACAAATATTTAGTCGTAAATAGTTTTTGCCCTCAATTTTGGGCAATAATGGGTTTTAGCCCGATTTAAATCCGGTGTTAACAAAGCGCCGGGTTAAAACACGGGCGCTTGCCTATCTCTAGTCATATACAATCACACGCATGAAAACGCATACGCGCGCACGTCCTCGCAAGCAAAGGGCGCGTTCAAGTTAGCCGCTGTTAGCCGCGCTGTTAGCCGCGCTGCAGCAGCGCTGCAGCCGCGCGGCGGCCGCGCGTCGACCGCGCGATTGTCACTTTTCAATACAATTTCTAGAAGCGCTGCAACCGCGCGGCGGCCGTGCGACTGTCGCGCTGCAGCCACGCTCGGTTGCATCACGGCTAGTGAGGTGTACATGTTAATTTTTGAAATTAACTACGATGGACGAAAATGGAGTTGAAGAATTTATAGAGAATGCAGAGCAACACCTTGCAATATGGATATCAGTTCCGCCAGTTATTCTAATCGACTGGAAAAAAAGGAATGGGAAAATTTATGTCTAAAATTTATTGACGGTTTTGAAACTAAAACTACAAATGAATAAAACATAGCCGGTTGTGAGTTATTTTTAATATCTATACGTGAAGTGTGTGCTCCAAGAACTCTGACACCCCTAACTATATCTTTTGGTTCTGAATACAAGTGTGAAGAATAGTGTTAAACAAACGTAAAAATCCTATAAAAACCCGTAAACAAAGCGAAAACTATTAACAAATATTTTTCGTAAATCGAGTTTTTGGTATTCATTTTGATTATTTTGACAAAATAAAGGTAACGAACGGATTCTAAAGGTGCCTACGACATTGTCGATCAACAACGAGAATTATAGACGTTTCGAGTTGTTTGAGAGTGCTCATTGAGAATGTGGCATTAATTTCTAAATCCAAGATGGTTGCCAAGATTTTTCAAAAATTTATTTTTGGTAATCCTTATGGAAATGGCATTTATATCTGAACACATGATGGCTGACACGACTTTTTGCATTTTCAAAATGCAAGATGGCGGGCATGATTTCTCAAATAATGGCAAGTTGGGTATCGTTTTCGACATATTTAAGGGTGCTCATTACGAATATAGCACTTATTTGTAAATCCAAGATGACGGACACGATTTTTCAAAAAAACGCAATATGGATATCCTTCTATCCTCAATGTAATCCACATTGAGAAATTAACTTTTCGAAATTGGATTAGGTCTGAATATTCTGGGTAGTGTCCCGGAATTAATTTTGTTGCTCGGGTATTTGAATTACAGGAAATTTTCCCTTGTTAGAAACACTTAGGGTGGAGTTTTTTGTAGAACTTATTTATTTGTGAACGCGTAGATGAACAAGTACTTGCCTATTCTGATACACAGCTTCGCCGCGGTCTGTATCTTGGGCACAGCGTCCAAGACATGCAACGCCAATGAAGCTACCTCCGCTGCATGCCTTGAACATCGTTCAGGTACACCACCAACCACCATGTACGCATCGCCTATTGTTTCCACCTGCGAATAAAGTTGAAAATTAACACGGTGTCAAACGTATCGTCGTCGCACAATTTGTTACTATTTATTGCGAAATTAGGTGAACAGTCTGTTTGAATGTTTTGAATCTGTCTGAGGGCACACTCAGAAATCCCCGACGTAGACATCTTTATTCTTCTTCTTATATTGGTTTAGTACAGTCATTAAGATATTAATGATTACAAAAAATATGCTATAGACAATGAGTGCCGAATATTATACCTAAATAGTAATAACATAGACTAAAAAGGCTTTAATATAAATATAAATTTAAAAAAAAAATCTGAACCAGTAGCGACTAGTTAAACCATAGATGAGATAAATAAATTAGTGTATAACATTAAAGTTATTATACTTATGATATAATATTATAAAAAAAAATCGGGACATAAACTCGTGACTCTAATGAATACACACATTAAAAAGGGTCCAGGGATCAAGCACGTTTCTGCAAATTACTGAAAATCAGATCTTTTAATGAATTTTTTAAACAGCAACGGATTTTTTTAGCCAATTCCAGTTTCAAATGCAAATTATAAAATTGACCAAAAAGAATGCCCATCGGTGTTAAAGAAAAATATTTCGAAACCTGATTTTCCTTAATTAACAATAATCTGACTAAATAAACCGACCTCAAACGTCATCCCCTACTTTGCCACCCTGAGAGGTGGAATATTTTTTAGCACTCTTTGCCGAGATTATAATGAGTGTAGTTTGTTGTGGATGCTAAAATCTGTTAATTGTGATACCAAAAAACGAACACGGAAAATTTGTCATTTCGTCAACCGTGAGACTTCTCGGCCAATCCCTGCAAAGAAAGCATGAAAATCCGTCACAGTCCGCTCTGAACTTTTAAATTCATTTACTAACAATTTAATCTAAGACTAACAACGACTACGATGAACTATATAAATAGGCAAAAGACAAACTCCTACTGCCAACTGCCCAGTGTTCATAATTGCAAGAATTAAAAATACCTACCTGTACCCTTAGAATAATAACGCATACAATCATTGACTTACAATAAGTCAATGCATACAATGATACTTTCATATCAAACGAACTGTCACAAGTGAGGCAAAAATCAAATTCATGTAGGCTAGTTTTATAAATATTCACTAAAACCGAAAATTAACCTACTACAGGTTAACTTTCGGTTTTAGTGAATATTTATATAAAAATACAAGTTGAAACGCATTACTTCCTTGTGGAATGTGATGTTAGTATCTATTTTATGTTTGTCTGACGTATTTTTACACTCATTTACCGCACATTTCGTCATTTTTAGCTAAAATTCTTGATCTGTTCGCGGTGCAAGTTGACCTTGAGCACTGACGGCCCGCCCGCTCGTGTAGGCCCTTTGGGCGCGCTTCAATTTGCCTCACTTAGCGTGTACGGACTAGATTTCTATGCGTTATTATTCTAAGCCTGTACCCTTACTTAAAAAAAAAGAAAATGGTAGTAAAATAAAGTGCGTTGGTTTTTTTTTCGTATATTTTTTTGTATTTTCGAATATACAGTAAAGGATACACATTCAACAAGATCATCAGAAGTTCAGCAGACTTTTACTAATGTGCTTGGAAAAATAATAACATTTTCGTTTAGCAATTGTCCTAACATGTCTGATATTACTTTTAATATTAATTAATGTTTTTTTCACTTTTTCTATTATATACGTACATCTTCCTCTCTATAATCTTTTATTATTTCCTCGCTTTGTTTGCGGAAATGCGGGATTGCTTGACTCGTATTAATACAAAGCCTCAGTGGCGCTCATAATCATCCAGTAATCCCTTACGGAATAAAAGGCCTCTGCAATAATGTACTATTATAGATTCAGGCATTACTTTGCGGAAATCCATTTTTAATTTTCTTCGGTCAAACGATCAACAGCGAAGAGAGGCCAAACACGGTGTCGAGTATATTTTTGGTGGTCGTGTTTGTCATTTTAGTTGCGTTTGTGTTATTTACTTTATTAATGTTATGTCATGTAAAAATATTAGAATATGTAACGCAATTATTTGTTATTAGACACCATATCACAAATAACAGCCTTATGACTGTTGATTATCTTGAGAGATCTTTGGAGGTTTAATTACTAACGCAATCGAAAAAACCGGAAATACCTACGCTTTAGTAGCCTGCTAAATCTGTATAATGACACCAGGCGCTCACTGCGACGAAAACGGAACCTAGGCACGCGGTCAGAGAGGTGAAAATAACGTTACCCCCCGTGTGCAGTCGTGCGGAACCGAATGCTGGGGTTGTAGAAGGATTGTAATGTAAATGAAAGACTTGTCTGAACGCTTACACGGCGATACACTCAACGGTATGCACCGCGGTAGGCACGGTAGGTTACGCGGTAAGTACCAGCGGACCTCGAGCAGTACACCCAATAAGCTACCATCGCTTTGCACCTAGTTATTACGTATCAATAATTACTGTATAAGAGAACATAGTTCCGAAACTTGATACGTAAAGGTTGAAGTCAAGTTTATAATTGATCGTCAAGCATTGAACTTAATTATCTTTTGCCAAGGATCAAATTAACTTAGGGAGCAATTTAGTCTCTAATTTAAAATTGACTTCGTGACAATGTGGGGAAGACTACTGCGACAAAGGAGTGGTATACAATATCTACACATTTCTGTACAACCATTCGTAATGGTGTTATACTTTGGTTTTTTTTAGAATTAGAAAAAATGTATACAAAGTAGTAATTATAAATTTTTTCTTCAGTCAATAAATTACTGTAAAGGAGAATATCGTGAGAATGTATGATGAATGCCATTTACAAATGACACACCATCTTATAATTTTAAAAAAGTCCTTTAAGTTTTTTATAGAGTACGTCTTTGAAATATAAATTTTTATTAGGTAAAGATAGACATTTTTCATTAAACTTAAATAGTGAATACTATAAAATATAAACTTAAGAATTTGGTTTCACCGACTGAATGAAATGGCGCTTGATAAAAAGCCCATAAATTTCCTTCTAATACTAAAAAAGAGTGCAAACGAGATCAGGCGAGGATCTATGATATGTAAATAAAAATGTAGTATAAATATAAAATAAATATTATTATTACAACAGCAAAATTTTTACACTATTTGCTAAAATAAATCTAGACAATTATAACAAACTAGTGGAGTAATTTCACAAAAAATAATTGAATATCAATTCAATAAAAATTTAATTAATACAGAGAATAGCGACATCTCTCGCCAGGTCTGGTAGCTGTAAAGGTACTAACTGGGTGATAAATCTGTAATAGATTTCTCATAGATGGCGCTACGACTAAAAAGTCGTTGAAAGACCAAGTACAAAGACACGACGCAAGCACATAGAAAAATTCGTGAGGTCCGTCGGTTCGTTCCGTGGCTTAGTTGGTATAGCGTCTGGCACGGTATGCAAGAAGACGTCGGTTCGAATCCGACCGGATCGAAGGAATTTTTTCTAAGTGTTTTTTCTGAGTGTTCGATCTTTGAATTAATAATTATACCAAACTAGTGGAGTAATTTCACAAAAAATAATTGAATATCAATTCAATAATAATTTAATTAAATCTAGACAGTTAAGAAGAGTTATTGGAGAATAATGAAAGATGGACGGAAGTCGGAAGAGGCACATGGGATTGGATAAGACTCAGGATAAGAGAGCAACGATCTATCCACCTTCCTAATCCGTTTTCCAATTTCATTACTGTCACAAGTTCCACGTTTTAAGAAAAGGTAAAAAAAAAATCCAAAAAAAAACGAAGTCTATATAAGGCCTTGTCCAGAAGAAGCGAATTTGCCGCAAATTGTCTCGAGATTAAAATTTGAAAACTAACAATAGTAACATAAAAATCTAAACAATACCAATCTTATTATCATGAAAGTAGAATTTGATTTGACAAATTACATTAAAATTTATAACCAGAGCGTCATAAAAAAAAGTTATTTGTTATGCAAGGGTGTAAACTCATTGTTTAACGCGAGTGCTTGTATTGAAACCTGAGCAAGCGTAGGAAGCTAAGGGTCGTATTCCAGAACTCTACTCAATGCTCAAGTCAGGATTTGAGCAGACTTGAGTATGATTTCAAGCACTGGAAATACGACCCTAATGGCAAGGACTTGAGTATGATTTTCAGTGCTCACTGCAATACTCAAGTCCTGACTTGAGCATTGAGTAGAGTTCTGGAATACGACCCTAAGTGTCGTATTCCAGAATTCTACTCAATGCTCACGGCAGGACTTGGGTATGGTTTAAAGCCCTAGAAATCATACTCAAGTCCTGACTTAAGCATTGAGTAGAGTTCTGAAATACGACCCTAAGATTGAATTTTCTTTTAATTTTTGAATAAAACGAAAAGTTTTATCTTCGGATGCGTTCTGAATTAACACCTCATCATTTTTTCATTTTTGCTTGTACTTTTATTTTGTGTGATTAAGTGATTATTGAAATTATTTTAGTTCTTCGACGAATTAAAATAATTTAATAAACACAATTATTTATCATTCTTAATTTAATGTCTCCAATAACAAGACTAAAATATACCAACGGATTTATATTACTTATATAAGTAGTGTACGACAAATCGCGTAGTTGAACGTGTCATTATCTTTTTTTTTTCATCGAAAGAAAAAGTTAGGTGCACCTTCTTTTATTTTTTTCCATCCTCTAAGGGTGCACCACATTCCATCGTCAAGTTCGAATTTCAAAAACCTTTTCCACGCTAGCGTGGAAAAAAACTTTTGCGCGCAAATTTCTAATGAGAAAGAAAGCCTTTCAGAGCTAGTGAGGTGAGAACGTAATTTGGCATGCATTGATATTATAAATATAGTCTTCCTTATCGATTTCGATAACAGCGATCAATAATCGTATACATATTACAAACAGCGACCCTTTCATATTAGTTCCTAGCGTATGTGATTACATAGATTTATATGATTCGCTATACCGAATTATGTCTTGAATGTCCGATCTTAAACAGAGCATA